GGTCGTCATCAGTGACTCCTTCTCTGTTCATTAAGAAGTTCGAACATTGTTTTATGCAAAATTTTAGGATTCATATGTCTGAACAGCTGGCCGACGTTAATACTTTCTACCCACAATTGTATAATAAACTAGTTCAGGTATGTAAACTTTGTGTAAAGAGCAAAACGACTGAAAGCTCTAACCACACACCATACCTAGACCAATGCTGATGACGAAGTCACACATCCTACTTGCGCCAATGTAAGTCATTTCTAGGTCAGATCTCTTGGACCACTGGTACTTACATGACCAAAACCGAGTAAATAGTACCGTAAAACACCAACCCAATCAATCAATCAATCAATCAATCAATCAATCAATCAATCAATCAGTCAGTCAGTCATTTGTTGTTTTTTTTTCATCATTCATTTTATTGTCAGATTGGTGTTGTTCATCATTATAGTCAACTGATAAAACAAGTTTTCATTTTTTAAAAATAATCTTGAAACACATGGGAGAAAAATACAGTGAATGGCATCCATAGGAATATTCAAATAATAACGAGTAGATAATTATTTCTATCACATATATAATGACGATAATAACATTTAGAACATTTCTACATGTATTGTTCCCTGAAAGGTGAAATTCCTGACGTCATATGATCAAATGATTTTGAATGAGAAAACTATAATATTATTATGTTCTTTGAATGAATGAAACGAAGAAATAAATACTTTTCATTTCCGCACACACGCGTCTTAACACAGTAAATTCACCAGAAAAAAAAGACAGAAACTGTGATAAGTGTGATACAAACAATAACAAATCGCCAGCTACTCCAACAGCAGCAGCAATAACGACAACGACAACATCATCAACAACAACAATAACAACAACAACAACAACAACAACAACAACAGCAACGACAGCAACAAGACGTAAGGTAATAAAGCTGGCTTGCAGCTCACAACCCTCAATTGGAGTCAGCGACCACAGTACTGTACATGTAATCATTTCACGGAACCCACGGAACCCACGGAACCCTTATCTTACTATTTGTCTTTAGCGGTACATTTACCGAAAGAAGAGGGAGGGAGGGAGGGGGGGGGCGCCCTCTAAAACTCAAGAGTTTCTTTCATTAACCAACTCCGTGTTTTCCTCAAGTCTGCAAGGTCTCGTCACAAATGAATAGACGTTCATGCTCTCCATTTCTCTGGAGTGAAATCCATACCAGTATTATCTCGAAATTAGCGAAAGTGCAGAGTTGAAAACGGTTATGATCGTTAAAAAAAAGAACTCCTTAACTTTACTCCCCGGTTCGAATTCTTAAGAGAAAAAAAAAACGTCCTAATACTTGACTTGTTTAATTTATTAACAGTAAAAGATAGCATTTGTATAGCGCAAATCCCCGCTCAACAGCAAGCTCTATGCGCTTCACAATCTATACTATTTGTTCCCAAAGCTTTTCCTTTCGCCCACTTGACTAGATCCTATTGGTGATGAACGCTAAATCTGGAGGTTCCTCATGTTGTATTACTTTACACAGGGGCGTTAATTAATTAAAAACCCATACAACTATAACCACATAGAGGCTGAAAGGTCACAGCAGCGCCAGCACTACTGTATAAACTAGACACAGCTCTACTTCTCCCTCTATACCTCTTCCCCTTCCACCATCCGTCCCTCCATCCCTCCCTCGCTACACTTCACGATATGGTTCTCCATATATACTACCCCCCCCCCCCCAAATCCCTGTCTCCCTCCCCCTCTTCACACATCACGATATGTAACATCAAACGAGAATACCAATAGATAAATAGGTAAAATAACTTATCATGTTCCAGAAATAACCAAGAATTATATAAAGAACAGATATTCCTCTTGCAAAAAGTACACTTCATTCTGGTCTGCCTTTCATTCAATAAAATAGTTTACATATTATATAGTTAGTCATTAATTGCATAATATACATATATGTTAAACACATTTGATAGCATAATGTCACAGACTCGAAAAAGAATATCAATTTTACCGAAACACCTTACGAGGAGTAGAGTTTAACAAGAGAGATCATTCTTCCTTTCAGGAAGAAGAGTTTGACAAGGGAGATCATTCTACCTTACTGAGAGAAGAGTTTGACAAGGGAGACCATTACCGCGACAAGGAACGCCATAGGAGCGTGGGCGCCCACCCCGTTATCCCCGTTACCGCCGCTAAGCTTGTCGTTGGTGGAGGTGAGGCGGGGTCGGCAGAAGCCACAGGTCTTGGAGCAGATGTTCTTCATGGCCGCCTCGTAAACTCCCTTACAGTACCCTTGACCTTTCCAGTAGGCGCAGTGCTCCTTCTCGTCTCTACACGTCTCCTCGCCCTTTCCATCTCCGCCATCACACGTACCACACGACACGCGGCAGTAGGTCTTCACATACGTGTTGGTGCGGCAGTAGCCCTGGGGAGCGCGGGCCCAAGCCAAGCAGTTGGGGTTCATATCCTTACAGCTGGGCCTGGAGGTGGGTCGAGGAGTGGGCGTGGTCACCACGCCTGGTTTACGTGTAACGGTCGTGGTGCCATCACACACACGGACGGGTGTACCTTTGCAGTAACACTTACAATCCTTACCCAGGTAGGAGTCTCTAGGGCACGTGATCTTTGACCTATCGCAATGCTCGCTACACTTGTACATTCTGTTGGCCAGCATGACGTCGTAAAAACTCAGCCCCTGTCTGTTTCCGATCACGTTCTGCATAGCTGGGTTGACTGTCTTGATGGTGTAGTCTCCGTTCTGGCTGAAAGCGCGGCCACCGTAATGCATGACGCTCCTGTAGTCATAAGGGACGTCGAAGACCTCCACCGCGGACCAGGGGTATTTCTTGAAGTTGTAGCGCACGCTGGGAGGGATGTTCCGGGTTTGAATCCTCACGTGGTTGTCGCGGTCTGGTCGGTTCTGCTCGTGGTGGAAGCCGACGGCGTGGCCAATCTCGTGGACGATGACGCCTTTCTGACGACAGCCGCCTGTAATAGACACAGAGAGAGAGTGTGTGTGAGCGGGGAGGGTTAGGGTTGTTTTGGTTGTTTTTTTTAGTCTTTGCTTTTACAGAGGGTACTTACAGTGACAGTGACAGTGATAGTGGCAAAGACAGAGACAGTGACAGTGGCATTGGCAGTGACAGTGGCAGAGGGTACTTACAGTGACAGTGGCAAAGACAGTGACAATGGCAGTGTCAAAGACAGAGGCTATGACAGTGGCAAAGATAAGAATACAAGCATTTACAAATGTTTGTTTATTTATTTATTCTTAATTCATTTGTTCCTTTGTTCTAATTTTATTCATGTATTTATTTATTCATGTATTTATTTATTCATGTATTCATTTATTCATTTATTTATTTATTCCTTTATTCCCAGGACTTACCAGCAAGACCAATAGTCTGCGAGCCGCCGACCATCCCCACGTAGGAGTAACATCCGCTTCCGTTGTCAAAGTAAACAAAGTTGTTTTCGTTTCTGGAGGCTTGGCGGAAGGAGATGCAGGTGTACCTCTGCCACTCGGCGATGGCCTTGTTGATCTCCCCTCTGTCACGTGACGTGAACACGCCGCTCGCGATGCGGTAAGGGATGACCTTATTGGTCCAGCGGTAGTTTGGGTTCTTGATGGCTTTCCTCTTCTGTCGGTACACTATGGAGCTGTCGTCCTCTTCCGTGATGCCCTGTTGGTGCGGAGGATTGAGAGGTTGGGGGTTGAGTTTAGAGGTTGGTGATGGTGATGGTGATGATGGTGATGGTGGTGGTGGTGATGATGATGGTGATGATGATGTGGATGATGATGATGATGGTGAGGAGGAGGAAGAGGAGGAGGAGGAGGAGGAGGAGGA